TTTTTTTTTTTTTTTTAAACCAGGCTTACAGGTCAGAAAGAGACCGGAGGGACCTGTGACTATGGGCCACAACAATGCTTCAGGTCTGGGAAGGAACTTACCTTAATGGCCCAACTTTCAGGTAAGCAATAGATAGGTACATGGGAGGCACAACAACACAAGTAAGGTGTGCTCTCTATGGACGATAGAACGGTCAGTCATTCAAAATCTAAGGGGCAACATGGACCTAAGGACAAAGGTGAGACGGAATGGGAAGATGGATGGAATGAAGGCAGGAGTCACAGGGATAACTGTTGTTACATGGAGGGAATTGTAATCATTGAGATGAAACAAATTATTTGACTTGTTGAATGTAAAACTGATGATCTTGTTTGTACCTTCACTCAATTCACAAGAAAAAGTTTTTAAAAAATTGTATACTTTAATTACGCACAATTTATTGTATATTTTAATGAGGCTGCTTAAAAGAGAATCCAACATTAAGGGGAAAATGCTAAGTACTAAAAATCACTCACATTCCTACCATCTCAACTATTACTACTGTATTTCATAGATTTCAAGATGCAAAATTTTCACATTTTAACATCTCTGAAATGTTAAATTGGTATAGGCTCACAAAAACAAGTCTTCCATTAAATGGAATCATACAACATAAAATATTTGCATCTTCTTTCACTTAGAATAATGTTTTTGAGGTTCATCTATGTTGTAGCATGTTCATTCCTTTGAAGTGAAGAGCACCGTTTCCTTGTATGGAGTCCTGGTGTGATGTTACAGCTAACCACAAGATCTGCAACTGAAACTCACCACCCACTCCTCAGAAACACTATACAGGGCTTGATGGCACTTAACAACAACAACAATAACATTTCCTTGCATAAGGAACCTTGGTGGCCTTGTCGTGTAAGCACTAGAGTGCTAACCAAAAGGTAGGCAGTCTAAATCCACCTGAGTGAGAAAAAAGAGGTTGCCCGCGTAGATTGCTATGAGTTGGGCCCAAACCGAAGTCAATGGGTATTCCCTTGTATAAATAATTTTGTTTATCCATTTACCAAGTTGATGAACATTCAGACTGTTGTAAATTTATAGCTATTATAAATATACTAGTATGAAATATATATATATCTTTCTGTGGTTGATGTTATTTTTAGGTGCCATCAGTAGGTTCAGACTCATAGCAATCCTG